CAGCAAAAAAGATCCCAAACAGGGTCAGTGCAAGGACACAGCCCTGTTTCACTCCGCTTCCAATGTCAAAGGGATCTCATATTGAGCCATCAAAATCTACAGTGCCCTTCATTTCTTCATGAAAGCACCTGATGATGTTAAGGAGCGGAGGTGGACATCCAATCTTGGGAAGTATCTTAAAAAGGCCACCCCTGCTAACCAAATCAAAGGCCTTTGTGAGATCTTTGAAGGCCACAAAGAGTGGCTGTTGTTGTTCCCTGCATTTCTCCTGCAACTGTCTGAGGGAGAATACCATATCAATGGTGGATCTATTAGCTCAAGATACACACTGTGAATCTGGATAGACTTTGTCTGCAAGCACCTGGAGCCTCTTCAGCACTACACGGGCAAGCAGCTTCCCTACAATGCTGAGAAGAGAGATGTCACAGTAGTTACTGCAGTCGCCCCCGTCTCCTTTGTTCTTATACAATGTGATTATGTTTGTTCTTATACAATGGATGATGTGGTACTTCCCTCCAGCAAAGACAAAAGATTTGTTATAGTTCAGCGGTGATGATGTCTTTACAGCACTTCAGCACTTCAGCAGGGATGTTATCCTTCTCAGGTGCGAGGGAATCCAAGGCCGCTTTTATTTCTGCTAAAGTTGGTTAGCTGTCCAACTCTTCCAAGACAGGCAGGCACTCAATATTATTTAGTGCTTCTTCGGTTACTACATTCTCTCTGGAATACACCTCAGAGTAGTGCTGCACCCAGCGGTCCATCTGCTGTGCTCGGTCCTGGATGATCACACCTGCAGCTGACTACAAGGGAGCAGATTTCTTCTGTATTGGACCTAAAGCCTGCTTGATACCGTCATACATTCCTTTGATGTTACCTGTGTCTGCTGTTCATGGATCCTCTTCATGGATTGCTGCCTCCTCTTCATGGATTGCTGCCTCCTCTTCATGGATTGCTGCCTCCTCTTCATGGATTGCTGCCTCCTCTTCATGGATTGCTGCCTCCTCTTCATGGATTGCTGCTCGCCTCTGATCTCAGTGGCTGGCATCAACTCTTCCGAATGGGCTTCTAACCAGTCTGCCATCTTTTTGGTCTTCTTGCCAAATGAGGAAATACACATACTGTACTACCTGATTTAAATCAGGAAAATGATACAAGAGAAAATAACTAAATACTCTCCAGGCCTGATGCCACTGTTCAGATAAAATGCAGAAACAATGTTGCCATTTTGAATTAAAAATAAAAAACATCAACGAGGGGTCTCTGGCACAATCTACAATTTCAATTATGCGAATACAGACACCTGTCCCACTCTGCACCTATTTTCAGGGCCCAGCCAACACAATTATCTATCTGAGACAGAGCAGCACATGGCACCATCCACCCACTCAACTTCAAGCCAGGGTCTATAGTGCCTAAGACCAGCCAAGCTGTTTTGACACATGAGACAGAAATCTCACAAATGTTTCTCCCTCTCCCCATAGTTGAAAACAACAATTTAAAAAAAAAAAACAACTACCAGTTTTATGTCTTTTTATAGGTGTTTCCAAACTGAGACTTCCCTCCACACTGCCTCCATAAAGTTTTGCCATTTTAAATTAAAAGTGGTGTCTTTGTTGAAAATCCACCTTACTTACGATCACGCCATTATGCTTTCTCTGCATCACTGATGGGATGAGCAAAGTCTCTGGGCTTGTCCACACAGTGGCTTTGCCTCAGGCTGAAGAGTAACCTTAGAGTCCTAAAAAAGTAACTGTTCCATGCTTCAGACTAGGATGCAACTACACTGTAATTTACTTTGTGGTTTGCACCAGAGTTGGCATGATTCAATTTGATGCATTTCCCATCAACTTTATGACATACAGCTAATTGCAAGCAAGCCCAGTCTTTTTTTTCATGGGAGTTCACTGCTTTTTGTTCTATCAGCCATTGCTACTTGGATCCCACCCCCATTGTTGTTTTTTCGTAGCAATTCTGCATGCATCTTTTTTTTACAGTTTCTGTCATGTATGATCCACCTATAGCAATCTGAAGGGGTAGTGGGGGAGGGGGGTTATCCAATGGTTACATTGGCAGTGGGACATTTTTTTTAAAGATAAATTTGCACTGAATTGAAATAACAACTTGTGAAACTGCACTGTATATCTGACACGGCACTTAATTTAAAAAGAAAAATTTTAAGAAGTTGTTTGAAGAAGAGAAAATAGGTACCTACTGTGCTATGATGAAGTGTATGCCAGTACAGTGGGAATATCCACCTCAAGTGAGCACTTCTTGGCTGTCCTCCAAAAATAATATCATGTATTTCCAGTATAGCGCTGTGTCAGACAAGCACTCCAGTTTCACAAGTTGTTTTATCACTTCAGCGCTATGTCACTTGCGAATTTTATAAAGGCAGGGAAAGTGCCATGTTAATGACAGAGGAGGGAAAGCAACCTATAATCAAGTGAAGATTGTACTGATTTGAACTACAATGTAGACTCTTGCCCAGAAAATTGTCAGGGATAATTATACATTCATGTGACTAACAACAGTGATTTAACTTGCATAGAAAATTTTAAATAAACCCAAACCAACCTTGGACAGCCTCCCTGTCTAGTCACACCTAAATAAGGCTTACTGTCATCTCTTTCATATTTCTGTAAATAATACTACAGCAGGCTAGTAAGAGGAAGAGACACAAGTGGCTCAAACAACATCCCATGACAGTTTATCACCCCAGGTATATGCTTCATCTCTCCAGTTAAGTGAGCTTTTAATATAGCTATCCAAAACATAAACCCTTCATACGGGGGGCAGGGTTTAATCCGAAACCCAGAAGTAAACAGGCATTGACACGGCTTGCTGCTGTGCAGCACTGATGGCGCTCTGTGCATACATGCACCTTAGAGGGAACTCTGAGCAGAATGTAATTCAACAGGGGGTTTTATTGTCAGTAGAACCGATTCCTTGATGTTAAGCAACGGTACCTTTCTACTGCTCAACCCAGGCCTGTTTATTGTAATATAATCTACTGCCATCTGGTGGCTCTACATGAGAGATATATCAAAGGAAGTCTTGGTGACACTCAATGTACACTAAAATAATTTGTGACATTGGCATATGAATCGTTACGATCTAGCCAGGGGGCCCTTTTGAAAGAGCCATCCCTCAAGGAGGTAAGAGGGATGGCTTGTAGACAAAGGGCCTTTTCGGCAGCTGCCCCCAGACTATGGAACGCCATTCCAATTGAGATTCATCTGGCGCCAACACGGATGATATTTCGGCGCCAGGTCAATACCTTCCTATTCCAGAAGGCTTTTAATTGAAATACAGTGGTGCCTCGCTTTACGAGCGCCTCGTATAGCGATGAATTCGCATAGTGATCCCTTTTCCGGGATCGCTAATGCGAAGGCATCGCGTCGGCCCCTATGGCCGAAATTCGCATAGCGAAGATCGGTAAGCGTTTCGCTTACCGACCTTCGCTTTGCGACCCGTGGATCAGCTGTTTGGTGGCTCCAAAATGGCCGCCGGAAGCCCCAAAATGGCCGCGCGCAGCGTTTTCGCACCCTCGTTAAGTGAGGGTAGGGCGCGAAAATGGCTGCCGGCCATAGGAAAGCATCGCTGAACGGTGAGTATTCAGCCCAATTGGAACGCATTAAACATGGTTTAATGGCTTTTCCTGCCCCGTTCAACGATGCTTTCACACAGCGAAGGTTAATCCGGAACGGATTAACCTCGCTGTGCGAGGCACCACTGTATGTTTTTCCACTAGACAGTCGCTCGCTATGCGAGGCACCACTGTAATATCAACTGGGGTCCTGATGGCAATTTTTAGAGTATATATTTTAATTGTAATTGTTTTATCTTTTCAATTGTATTTTAATTGTTGTAAGCCACCCAAAGACCTTTGGGTAATGTGGGCGGCATATAAGTTAAATAAATAGATAGATAAATAAATAAATAAATAAATAAATAAATAAATAAATATTGATGCAAAAAGAGAGGAAGCTATTAGAAGGCAGTGATGGCAAACAATTGTTCTATATCAAAGCATTCCCCCAACCAGATACCTCTTGTTCTGTTGAACTAGATGGCAGGAGGAGGATAAGCTGTTCGCCTACCAGCTCTGTCATCCAGGAAAATCAAAAGTGTCATGTAAATATCCATATTTCTAGCACATCTGTGAGAAAAGGTAGCAGGTGGAGTAATTAGCATCTGATTAACAGGCTGTGAATTGCAGTTAGCTCTAATGTCAATTACCCTCCAGTAAATACATACATGTTAAATGAGACAGAGTTGCACAGACATTCTATTCAGATTATTTCACAATGGAAACTTGATTATACACAGCTTCCTAATATCGGTAACTTGAAACAATGGAGAGAGAGAATGGGTGCTATTTTTAACCAACCCAGCTTAAATGGTACTGAGCTTCAGTTAATATGACAGCCTTCCAGTACAATGTCAAAGCAAACATACAAGTCTATATTTAGCAATGTAAGAATCTGCTATGTTTTGCTAAAGCCTCTTCCCCATCCTGGAGCCCTCTAGATATTTTGGACTACAACTCCATCATCCATGTCTCTGTTGGTTGGGGTTGATGGGAGTTGTGATCCAAACCATCAGAAAGGGGCCAGGTGGGAGAAGGCAATCTTAGTGCCATTCCAATTGCTGGCTGTTTCCTCCTTGCCTGATGGCACCGTTTGTGAACACTCATCTCCCCTAAACAAGAAGTGGCAACAATAATCCAGGCTTCCCTGCCATTCATTCACAACCATTCTTATTGTATTCTTAAGCATTTCTAGGCAGTCTGAATCAACTCCTTTGCTGGGTGCTGGAAATAGCCCAACACATAAGAATATTCCTAATGCTATGATATTGTTGTTTGTTGGGTGTGTTTGGATATTTCTGAGCATGCTAAGAGCTTACTTGACCAGCCAGAATTCATCTTCATGTAGTGGCAAAGGGGGAAAATGGGTTGTATTCACAGTTTATAACATTTCTTATTGCTCCCCATTTATGAAAATTGCTCATAATGGGAAACTAATGGTCAGACCCAAGTTTTATATAATCTTGTACTGTTCACTCTGTAGGAAAAATTAACACACCATATCAAGCATTAATAAGATTCTGTATACAGTATATCGTATCCTTGTTTGCCTTCATCTGCAGATCTGTCTTTCTCCATTCTCTCTCCCTCTTCCACAATCTTTCTCCCACACTCTTTTCCCCTGAAAACAAGACATGTTTGAACAATTTACATGTTCAGGTTCATAAAATGGATGCAGGTGCTCCTCAATCTGGAATAGTGGCTGGATGTACATTATCTTAAAAGTTATAGCAGCCATTGGCACCAGTGTATAAAACGGAAAGCCACCTGGTTTAGTCGCTGACTGGGGAGGTTTGTAGGAGCATTTTAGCCGGAAAAAGCCAGTTGGATATTTGCTGCTTTTGTTCAACATAGTAGGGACAAGTGAGAAGGAAAAGATTGAAGGAATATCAATGTATTTTGATCGTTTTACTGACAGAATGACTAGACACTGTTATTAATCCTATTTATGTCTCAACTCATCTTCAATAAGCCCAAGGTAAGGATACAAAATTATCTCCATTTTTATTTCATCCTCATAATAACCCTCTTAGGTAGCATAGCTTTGAAAAGTGTAACTGGTCCAAAGTCACCTGGAGAGCTTGATTGCTGAGTGAGTGATTAATCTAAATCTGGGTTTTCCCAATCATAGTCCAACCTCTAACCACTACACCAATCTGGATCACTTAGTAATTAGATCTGACAAGGGATTCTGAGGACTTTTTTTGATCAGCTTTGTATGATTCACCAGTTCCTGCTTTCCTCAGGGAGGAAAATTAGGCACAATGATTCATATCTTCAACTCATCTCATTTTAGATTTCTGTACCATGTTTATGGGGGGGGGGGGGGACTGTCCTTGAAATTTGTTCAAACATTGTTTTCAATGAAAAATGCATCAGCTAGACTTACGCTTGTAGACTTTTACTTTGTAAACCACATCATACCACTCTCAGTTCAACTTCACTAGCCTCCAGTTTGTTTCCAGGCACAAAGCAAAGTACATGCTGTGACCTAAAAAAAAAAACCTGAATAGTTTAGGGCCAAGGTACTTAGAATCATCATCAAAAGCCCTTCTAAGTTGCTAGAGATAGAAAACAGAGCCTTTTTGACAGCAGCACCTCAATCTCTGAAGTCCCCCCTGTACTCAAGGAAACGGAGATTGATCTTAATTTCACTCTAGATAAATTGTACCCATTGTTTTATTCCATTGCATTTTTAATGGTTGCATACTGTTTTAATTTGAGTATTCTTCTTATATGGTTCTATGGGGGAGCAACTAAGCTCCATATTTTAATGACACAGTATTCCAAGTCCATAGTATATGACAGGTGCAAGGTATACATCTCAAAACTAAATAAAATCCAGGCCACCAATTACTACTGTTTACTCTTGTTGCAAGGCACTGCCCTTTTTTTTAACCAAGAGGAGAAATTGCCTCTTTCTACCATTCTCTGCCTTTCCCTGGTCTCCTCCTTCTGTATTTGTCCAGCTACTGATAGGACAGGCAAAGGTTATTTGCAGTGTGCTTTTTGAGTCTAGTTTCACTTTCCCTGTCTATTTCTTTATCAGAAACCTGCTACTCCCTTAGTGGTAGTTTTAGAAGAGGTAGCCCTCTTAGTCTGTGCTAGTGTCGCAGCCAAAAACAAAAGAAAAAAACAAAAGTTGTGGCACCATGAAGAGTAACTGCTACATTTCCATGTGAGTTTTTGTGGAAAAGTCCACTTCTACAAAACTACTACTCTCAGACTTCTCTGCATTTCAGTTTAGCAGAAGACACTGAGAAAGTTCTGAAAGGTAAGCTGGGGGGGGGGGAATTGTCAGACTGCTAGAAGCCACTGGTAATGGTGTGGCTAAAAAATACTGTAAATAAATAGTGGGTTTTTCATGGTGCTGGAGAATGAAACATACTATGAAAAGGGCAAGTAATTTGGTCTGGATCTCAGAGCAGCCTTTTCCCTACTGGGGAAAGATATTGGTCAGCATTCTGCTGTGTTACATGGAAAGGCGATCACATAAGCATTTCTCCACCCACTTCAGCAACTTGATCAGTTGCACTACAGGGGACTTCCCAGAGGGAAAAATATGTGATTAACCTTATACTCTGAGTAGGGTAATAGCCGTTATTATTTTTTAACTATTTACATTTATATTTCACCCTTTCTCCAATGAGCCCGAAGCAATGTATGTGCCTCTCCTCTTCCCTAATTTATCTCCCAGCAACAGTCTTATGAGATAGAGCAGGGTGAAAGAAATTGGCTGTTCCAGTATTATTCAGTGAACTTTCACGAGCCTGCACATTTGGACCTTGATCTCCCTGGTTCCATATTGTAACTACTAATCCACTTTTGAATCAGTAGTACTTATGTTGACATTTTTGGAGGAATACGTGTTCTCTTCTAGAACATTATGAACTTGTGATTAAGATAATAGTGGTTATTTGAGCTTGATCGAGGGCAAAAAATCAATGATTTCTTCAAACATTAAATGTCTGTGGGCATTATCTGTTGCACATCAGGCTGCACAACTCAGCATGTGATGGGTATCATCCACAGGGAGATAGTTTTTAACGCAGGGGAATTTACCTCCAAAAGTTTCACCACTTGCATAAATGCACGACAGGATTTCAGCCAAATTATAATTCACGTATAAGAGTTTTGTAAATAAACTCACTATTTTGTCCTGAAATCATTTTATTTTGAGCACAAACCCTTGCCGTTTGCATAGAAAAATTTGTGCAAAAACCACTTTCATTAAATTATTACAGAAAGTAGTCTCAAAACATGGAAAACACACAATAGCTCCTCTAGTCTTGTCTGTTTGATATTTTTTATTTCCGTTGTAAGAATGAAATAAGTGAATGTTTACATCCCCATATACAGTACTCATCCATAGCCCTCTTTTGCATCTGTGATTGGGAATTTGTGGTACTTTAGGGAGCTCACTTTAAAGCAAGGGTCTCAAACATGCGGCCCGGGGGCCATTTGCGGCCCGCCGGATGATAGTTTGCAGCCCCTGCCTTGCCTGTCCCTCCAAAGCGCCCATGCGTCCTCTGCTGTCAAGAGTAAAATGAAGCTGGCAGACAGGCGGGCTGGCTGGCAGGCTGCAGTTTCGGATGGAGGGTGCAAGAGGTGCTGTCTTGGGAGAGAGCCAGCGAGCGAAGCGCGCTGTCTGCCCTTTTCCCCGAGCTGCCGCTGAGCGACGCCAGAGTGCGAAGCTCGCTCCCGGCCTATCCTCAAAGAGCGCCTCCAAGCCACGAACAGCAGCTGCTGCCACCACCGCCTCTTCCAGGGAAGCGGCTCTGTGGCTCTCTTCCTCTCTCAGCATCCCCAGCACTAGCCCGGCCAGTGGCCGCCTCAGCACCTGGTGGTGCTTCCTACTACTCCTCTTCATCCTGCTTCAGGCACCTCGACTCTGGAGGCTGCCTGGGCTTGCCTTGCAAAGTTTGCTCCTCTGTTATGGTGGGGGTAGCTGCTGCCGCTGAGTGCACCTTTTTTTGAGGGGGGCCCTCAGAGGAAGGTTGCCGGACCTCCGAGTGTGTGTGTGTGTTTGTGCATGCATGCACACCTGCGCGCACTTGTGGGGGCCCCGCCCCATTCTGTTTAATTTCATGGGTACCGATGGGGGCTTTTCTCCTTTGGCAAGGCGATTCTGTGAGGGTAACTACTGGGTGGCTTCCTTGGCTCTTGCTCTGCTTGGCGGAAAATCTGATGTGGCCCAGCCTCACCCAGACTCTGCCTCCAGCGGTCCCCAGGTAAATTGAGTTTGGGACCCCTGCTTTAAAGTCACCACTTACAGGAGCGTGTTGGCACTCTAGCTGCTGCTTTCGCTAAAACTGTTTCTGTCTAAGCAGCTGAAAAAATCTACCATCCCATAGAAATTCTCTTTTCAGGACCATTCAAAATACAGTTTTCATTCAACTGAATGTTACAGTTTCCTCTTCTTTACTTTTTCTTTCTTTTGTTGTTTAAAAGACATCCTGTCCATTTTTGCTGCTTGAAGCTTTTCATGTGGATTTTCTTTTTTTAAAAAAAAATAATCTACACATGGAAGTTCAGACAGAATGGAGAGACTGAATTATGGGTCACGTATGAACTTTGCGCTGTCCAAATTGACATGTGCCTGTCCATTCTTACTGCCTACTCCGTTCACTGCTCAGGTGTTCTATGGGGAAAAGATCAAGCCTGCCACGCTGCTCCTTTATGGTCCTCCATCTTTAAACTGTATTTGGACCCAAGAGCCCTTCAAACAGAGAGCTGACGGCCCTTGAAATGGAGGGTGAACCTTCATTAAGCAGGACATATATGGCCTCCTAACTCTAGGGGAAGATCTTTTGGAACTTTGGATCACAAACCCAAAGTCAGTCAAATCTGAATCTGCTGAAGAATCTTACCTGAAGCTGCAGCCTTGACCTTGTTATTTACCTGCCTCTCCTCTTCAACACATGATTCTTCTCTGTTTTTTAAAAACATTTTGCTTTCGTTGTACAGTCTTCATCTGCAATTAACTTTTCCCCCTCGGTTTGGTCCAAAGACCTCAGAAAGGAAATCAACAAAAACGCTCCAGCCGAGCTTGGAGAGTGGCTTACAGTTCCTAGGGGGTCCCTTGTGCCTCATAAGCCTCTTGCAGATCCATAATTCTGCTTTTTGATGGTTGCTTCCCATGTATGACTTGAACCACTTTTTCTCCCCCTTTACCGAGGATTACAGGATTAATTTCAGCTCAATTAATCTTTTATGAACCAAGTCCTTACACAAATCTATGCATAGCAAGAAGGAGAAGAAAGAGAATTGGGAGTGAGGGGAGTATTGCTGCCCTTTAAAAGATGTTTAAAATAATATTTATTCTGATGTTATATTATCAACCATTTCTGGAAAAACAGAAACATCCAAATACCTGTTTGAGGTAAAGCATTCTGTTCTGCAACACAGGAAAAGCAAAGCCTGTGTTGATGCTTTCCATTAACATCAACGATGTATCTTTGACATCCCTTTGAACAGTTTGTGATGCTGGTTTGCTGGTGATAACAATTCTGCCAACATAGAATTCCCTGACAGTATCCCAGAATGCACTTGGCTTACTTCTGGAAGCACCCTGGGACACCCAAACTCAGCTCTGAGGCTGGCAGCTCTCGTCCCTTCTTTGCTGAACAGAAATGATAGGGAAGGAGGGGGGAGAGACTGATTCTGGCGTACTTTGCAGAAAATGTGTTGTGTGTTTTTTTGGGGCGGGGTTGTTTCTACCTTTTTGTTTCAGCCTAGGGATGGGGTAAAAGGTACAAGGGGTAAAGGGGGATAAAAAGGGAGAAGGAGAACATACAATATACTGTCATTAAATCTTGTTATTCGTGTTACAATGTCTCGTCAATTTTCGGCCTTTCTATACGTAGTTTGATTGCCCTTCTAGATTTCTGTTTACAGTTACCTCTTAGTTTAGTTATATGTTTATCAAGTTCTGTCTACTGACTCAAACCATTTCTATAGTAAATCCCATCATTCAGTTGCCATTCGTATTGGACAGTCTTTCAGTACTTCTGATAAAATGTCCATCTCTGCTGCTTCCCAAATCTTCTCCAAGAGCAACTCTTGTTTCAGTATCTCCACTTTCGTCCAGTTCTTAGCATAGAGAATTCTGGCTGCTGTGACTAAATGTATAACTAGATAGCTCTTTGTTTTATCTATGTTAAAAAAACTTTTAGGTTTAATGAAATATTACAAAGCAATTTTTTTGTAACAAAGTATGGGCTACTATCCAGTACTGCTTCTCTACAAGTCCACCACATGTGGTTAAAACTTCCCTCTTGTGCTTTATGCTTCCAACAAACATTTGACACTTGCTAATCCTACATTTTTTTAAATTACTTTCTCATTTGAGGCCAACAAAAGTTTATCAAATACTGTTAGTTCTGCATAGAAGCCCTATATTTTATCTTTTTTATTCCTGGATTCCCTATGTGCTCTAGGCCACCGGTCTAAATATGTATTTTGCACCTCTAACTCTTCTTTGGACCTTAAATCACAATCCTTTTTTTAATAAACCTTCATATCTTAACAATTTCATTTCTATCCTAAGATTGGGTTGTGTAAAGACCTCTCTATAGGTGATACCCAATATGGTATTTTTTGGTATATCTGCTGTGCAGTCTTTTTCCAATTCCATAGTAGGGCTCTTCTTATCAAGTGAGTATTGAAACTTTTATGTTCTTTATCTTTTTTTTTATACCATGAAAAAGCATGCCATCCTAACTGCAGATCATGTCCTTCTAAATTAAGTAGCCTATCATTATCTAGGGTTATTAATTCCTTTATCCAAACTAATACACAGGCTCTTTAATATAGCATCCAAGCTGGAAAACCAAAACTTGCTCTTTGTTTGGCATCTTGCATTGCTTTGATTTTGATTCTTGGTTTTTCACCTTGCTAGACAAATCTCATGATTATCTTATTAAGTTCTTGAAATAAAGACTGTTTTAATAAGAATAAAATTTTGGGTAAAATGTTCATTTTGATAGTTGCTATTCTTCCCATCAAGAACAGCTGTAGTTTATCCCATCTCTCCAAGCTTGTCTCTTTGATCAATTTCATGTACTTGTCTTTGAATAGTGTATTTGTTTTCTTTGTGATTTGAATTCCTAAGTATCTGGCTCTCTTCTCTTCTTGAAAGCTGGTCCTTCCTATTATTTTCAATTGTTCTTGATCTCCCATATGTTTAAAAAGTATTTTTGTTTTCTTTTGATTTCTTTTCATTCCCACCATGTCACCAAAAGTCGTCAGCATCTATATCAAATCATCAATTGAATCCACTGGATCCTCCAAGATAATAACTAGGTCCAACTGCTTCAGTGGGACTTCTCCTGGTCTCCCCTTTGGCGTTTCATCTTCTGAGGGCCGCCAGACCAGATTGTTCAAACTTTTCCTGGGATATGTTTAAAAAGTATTTTTATTTTCTTTTGATTTCTTTTCATTCCCACTATGTCACCAAAATTCGTCAGCATCTATATCAAATCATCAATTGAATCCATTGGATTCTCCAAGATAATAACTAGGTCCAACTGCTTCAGTGGGACTTCTCCTGGTCTCCCCTTTGGCGTTTCATCTTCTGAGGGCCGCCAGACCAGATTGTTCAAACTTTTCCTGGGAGCTTCTCCGGAAGTTGCTGGCAGCACCACAACAAGCCCCGCCTCTAGCACCCAAATAATGCAGTGTTGACCCACACGTTACTTAGGGTGGTTGAAATAGCTGGAGGAATGCCATCAACCTTGCACAACATTTTAGGCATTCTCATAGGTGTGCAAGCTACTGCTCTTATAACAGGAGTGCCTCCAATACTCATATTTATGGGATTTATTTTTTAAAAAAGATACTGGTGGCTGGCTCCTTTGGATGGATGGATGGATGGATGGATGGATGGATGGATGGATGGATGGATGGATCGATCGATCGATCAATCAATCAATCAATCAATCAATCAATCAATCAATCAATCAATCAATCAATTGATGTAAGATCCTGGTGGCTGGCTCCTTTGTATTGATTGATTGATCAATCAATTGATGTTGTTATGTGCCATCAAACTAGAACTGACTTTTAGCAACCCTAATAGGATTTTCAAGATAAGTGAGCTATTTAGAGAAGGTTTTACCAGTTTCTCCACCTTCCCGTCATTGAATTTCTATGGCATTGCTGGGAAATCAAACCGAGGTCTCCTGAGTCCTAGTCCATTATTTATTTATTTATTTTTATTTATTACCTAAATATTAGTGTTAAAGACTATCACCGTCATTGATATGGCATTGCTGGGAAATCAAATCCAGGTCTCCTGAGTCCTGGTCCATTATTCTATCCACTACACCACACTGGGTACCAGAGAGAGACAGAGAGAGAATTGGTAATTACATGTCGACAAGTCAATTCTGACTTTCCAGATATTGAGTATTGAGAAGTGGTTTACCATCACCCTTTTCTGGAGGTGTTCTGGGACTGTGCAGCTTGACAAGTCAATTCTGACTTATGACGCCCCTTTCCAGATATTGAGTATTTGGAAGTGGTTTACCATTAATCTCTTCTGGAGGTGTTCTTGGACTGTGCAGCTTGCCCAAGGCTATATAGTCTGGTTCTTCTCCTATAGGAGTGAAGGTGCTAAACTCCCACTCTCAATGAGATGGTTCTCCATCTCACTGAACTCTCCAGTCAGCATATATAGATATCGATATATCAGGTCACAACCTCAGCAGCTGCTATTGCAGAAGTGCTTACCTGGCTCCAATTAGCACATGGGCCCTATTTCAATGACCTCCAAATGAGCTGCTAGCAAAATTTCTCCTTAGGATATGTGTTAGAGAGGGCTAGTTCAGCGTGGTGGTTAGATTGCTGGTCTTGAGCTGAGAAAATCCAGGTTCAAATTCTCACTTTTCACTAAGCTTACTTATTTAACTAAACCCTGCACAGGGCGGTTGTTAAAATAAAAGGCAGGGGGAAGAAACATGGATGCTTCCCTCAGATCCTTTGGAAAATGGTTCTTTGGGGGATTCTAGAAGTGGCAGTCCAAAAGGGAGATAATATGTGATGTTGGTCTGGTTTCTTCTTTCTATGTGCTAAATAAAAAAGGACAGAATATACTTCAGATTTTAACCTATTTTACACTTCAATCCTGGAGCTCTGTTTCAGAAACACACAAACCCTGAAGTATGTCTTGTAGAGTTCTTTTCTTTTCTCTTTTTTTAATGAACTGTTTTGATTTTTGACAGAAAAGAAGAAAACAGGCCCCAAGGTGAAATGGAAGATGAATATGAATATATTGTCTACTTTTTGCAAACATTTCCTGCCCAGAAAGAAGAGATTGAAAAGTGTATCAGATGTCTTCAGGAAGTGGCCGACAGCATTGACAAGATCCATAAGAGCTGTACCATTGCCAGCCTCACCGCCAACTCAACAAGCGCCTCTTCTGGTGTCTTAAGTGTCATGGGATTGTTTCTGGCCCCTGTCACAGCAGGCGGAAGTTTGATCCTGACAGCCACCGGGATTGGCTTAGGAGCAGCAGCGGCAGTGACTGGCCTGTCCACTACTTTATATGAAAGTGTCAGTAGTTCAAAGGAAATTCAAAAAGCACAAGAGCTAATGAATGTGTGTGAGAAAAGCCTGAGAAAAGCACTACTTCCTGATGAAATAGATTTCAACCCTGAACCAGCCCTGGGTAATGGGGCCATGGGGGAAAACATCAAGCAGCTTGTTTCCAACATTGCTGGTCAAGCTCCTGACATGTGCAAAACTGTCAAGAGAATCAAATCTGTGAAAGGAATCAGAACAAATATCAAGGCCTGGCAAGTTGCTCGAAACAACCCTGGCCTGAAGGCTTTAGCCAAGCGAATGACGGCTGGAGGATCTACATCCCAGAGTACAATATGGGGGGCCAAGCGTGTCAACAAGGCCTTTGCAGGAACCACTCTTGCAATGACTAAAGGATCCAGAATGCTGAGTGCTGCATCCGCTGGGGTGTTCATCCTCTTTGACGCCTATAGCATTGTCCAAGATGCTAAATGTTTAACCGAGGGAGCCAAGGCTGAAACAGCTGCAGAGATCAGAAAGAAGGCTAGCCAATTGGAAAAGGAACTGTACCATCTTCAGAAACTCTACAAGGAATTCAAAGACCTGGTGTGAGTAAAAAGAGACCAAAGAGCCAAAAAACATAGACATTTGTCATGTAACCATGTTACTATTTGGTCATAATAAATATAAAGGAGATATATAGATGGATATGGATTTGTCTGTATTTCTATCCTGCCTTCTCTCTCTCTCTGAAATAAGTTTAGTTGAATGAAAGTCGGTCTTTAAACATAAGCCAACCCAGTGAGTTTCATATCTCAGTGGAAACTGCTATCAGCCCACACTCTAACCACTAATATCCCCATTGAATGCAGCAGTCTAAAGACCACTTTGTAATCCAGAGGTAGATTTGATTCTTGCATCTTGTCCATACAGTATATTCTCTGGAGGAGATACAACTAATGTTCTCAACATGTGCCCATCTTGATGTATCCATCAGTTGCATCTTCGCCAGAGAATGCATAGACAAGATACAAGAATCAAATCTACCTATGGATTACATAGTGACGTGGTCTTTAGACTGCTACATTAACAAAACAGAGACAGGCACATGAGACATCTAATGTAATATTTCTTACAATGAACTTTTATTCCCTGAAAAGGCAGTGTATAAAATTACATTGAAGCTCTAAGACTTACACATAGTGTGACAACCAATTAGGAATAATTTTGATTCCTGTATCACCAACATTTCTCAGAGTACTACTGGTTATTTTAGATGCAAAAATGAAATCATTGAAGTTACGGCAACTAACTGAGACTAGCTAAGGAATTGCTTGTCATGTCTGTACCTCATTATGTACCTCATTATGACCTGGTACAGAAACAGCAGCTTGTTAATTAGTGACTGCTAAAAAGTTAGCATTCATGAAATGGAAATATATGATGATAAGATTCATACATGCCAAGTGAGGGGTTCTGCAGTCAGAAAAGCAAGTGCTAACACTCCTTAATACTCCTAAATTGCATGACTTCTTGATTACTGCACATGCTTTGTAAGGATTTGCTTGTGAAAAGAGATCAGAAAATTATTTTGAGTTTGTAAGCTATGCTTTGTTATCATTTGCAATTTAGTTTTGTTTGATGGAATTGGTTTTAACTGTTTGTAAACTGCCCAGAATAGTATTTCACCACTAATGGGTGTGTGTCTTTCTGTGTGTGTGGGTGTGTGGGTGTGGGTGTGGGTGTGGGTGTGTTTCTTATTGTTACATGTTTAAGTTCCATGATGTATTTTAGACACATGTGGATTATAATAGACAAAAGTGCATGGAAAAATAAATGTTTTACCTTAAAATTGCTGCAAAACATTGTTGTTGTTTCACATGGTGCAACTGACTAACTCCATGACATTATATATTATACTCAAACATATGTACATGAAAAGAAAACATTTGAGAATTCTCACCAGAACCTAAGTAAGTTTCATCCTATCATTAACCTTGGCTAGACCAGTCTTCACAAGAGATGTACTTTTTAGACATCACTGTGCAACTCCAAAATGGATGCACTAGATTATAGCAAAATCATACTTATTGTTACACATAAGTAAGTGTCTCAAGCATCAGAATATACCACAAAATCTATTGTCTACACCTAAGGTCTCTCATACTTTTTGCTCAGATCCATAAGATCAAAACTCATGAATATATAGCACACATTTCTTCATCTATAATATTCATTCAATAAGGTGAAAACACAAGTTCACAAGGGAAGAGTGGTACCCAGGAACAAGTTATTAAAAGACAGAACCAAAAGAGAAAATAATAGAACACCTGCCACTCCTAGCTAAGATCACTTACACCTATCTAGAACCCATTCGTGACAATAACACTTCCATCTCCCAGGTGCTGGACAGCAGACTTGTGCCTACTTGCGGACAGTTCCCCAGCCTTAAACAATTACTGACCCTCAACCGGCAATACAACCTGGGTACCAGGTCAGAGACCAGATCCTACTGCAAACTAGAGGCCAACTGTGTCTCCCCATCTACTCTGCAGCAGTATGATAGGTCCAAAAAGTGTTATCCACTATATCAGGGGCTCATTCGCTTGTTAATGTTCTAGTGGCATTTATACCGTTCTTTGCCAGCAATAACACTATTCAGTCTGCAACAGGCAAGCAAGACACAAGAGAATACATGGGTACAAAGCTAACATTGGGAATGGCAATGTGCAAAAACCCATGTAACAACATTTACACCTCCCAAGACACTCTGTCATTGATCTCATAGCGACAATTTTAGAAAAAAAGAAATTGCCTAAGAAGATTTGAAAGGGAAGCAGCTGAAGTGAGATATACTGTACCCATAAAGTGTATGTGCAGCTAATAAAATATTTTCTTTACCTCAGCACTTCAAAGACAAGTCTAATTTTTGTCTGTTAGCCAACTGAAAATTTACATTACCTAATTATTGCCAAGAGGTTTATGTAATCAACAATATCCCCTTTTACTCAGTCCCTCCCCCACAGCCGGATAAACTGTAGTCCCATGTGCTTAAGGAACTGAATTGTAAGCCATACTGAAATAAATTGGTCAGTTTTCGATGTGTGGCAACACTGGTGTTTCCTTTTGTGTTGTTAATCATATTGCTATGGTTACTCTCTGTAGAATATTAACAGACTACATCTTAACTGGGTAAATATAAGTTTCCCTCACAAATACTGCCTCTCTCCTCTAACCATTTCTCTGTCTTGTACCAAAGTAAAATTCCACTCTCCTTCTCAAATTCTCTGTGCTTCATTTTAAAGCACACTCTCAACCAGTCATCACCCTATGCAATGGAAATGCTCTGTCCATCAGGCACTCATACTTATTACAATACACAACAACCCTACAAAGAAACAACTTATTTTACAAGTTGTGCAATGTCACAACCACAAACCTTGATGTCCGCTACATTTGCCTTCTCATAGACATGCTGTGGCCCAGTCACAACTTAAGTGTCTCTGTGTACGTGTATTTATCTTTCTCTCTCACACACACAGACATTTACAGATGGACACTCATTCAGCTTCACCTCTCTTAAGCCCAGAGCAGTGCAGAGAGGAAGAAATGTGTTCAAAGAAACCATCATGTTCATTCCTGAAAGGATATGTGACATTTGGCTTTCCTTTCTATCTTCTTTCTTCCTCCCCTGTTATTACTGGACAACTAGTTGCTACTTTTTGGCATATCGAAACTCAGCATGAGTTTCAGTTTCTATTTTTCCACAAGTACATAGTAACCAGGAACATACCTTTGCCAGCTTCAGTGTTTTCCCAGGCATAAGACTTGTCATTCCAGCAAACAGCAAGCATTGTGCAGCTATTGGGTCTCATGATCCTTAACAGAATTTCCACATTAAAAAGAAGAACTAGTAGAAGAAGAAGAACTAGAAAAGCAAAGGAGGATTGCCAGTAATTTTGAAAAGCTACAGCAAAATGTGGTGAATGGGACATAGTGAGAAAATTTTGACTGCCGGTGCAGGAAAAACAGAAAGGTAAGTCCAAAAGTGCCCCCCTCCACCACGTTTGAATCTCATCAGTAAAATATTCTGCCAACAGATGTGCAGTTTTTATGGTCCGCAGAGAAGGGCAGTTATAATTAGTGGTGGTTTATTGTACCTATATTGTACCTTGGGGGTGAATCATTTTAATCTGAAAGTGAAGAAAACAATAGGGGCTGGGATGGAAACAATAAACAATTTTACTGGCTTATTTGGAAGACCTCCAAGCTTACTTCTAAAATCCTGTTTTTCCCTGAGCTTTGTGGAAGCAGTAAGTGAACAAAATATTGTTTCTACTGTTACCTAATACTGAGACACACCGTTAAGCTAGTTTTGAAATGGGTTTTGCATGAGTGAAGGAAGTATTGGTTTACAAAGAAAATAGTTATACCATTCAGAGTTTTTTAGCTGTTTTTCCTTGCTCTGATCCAATCAAACAAACCTACTGGTGAAAGCTACTATGAAAGGAGAAGTAAAGGTGGGGAATATAGGCCTCCTCAATAAAACTGGGATTAGAGGTGATTGGAGTTCCCAAGTTTCTGTCAGAAGTTTCTGTCAGAAGTGAACATAACTTTGTGTTATGTTCACTTCCTGTTTTATCTGGGTAGATTTATTTATGGATAGCACAGTGGTTTATCTGGCTGTGGAGCCAGAGGTTGGGAGTTCAATTTCCAAGTGTGTTTCCTGTGAGCAGGGCTAGCCTGTGTGGCATTGGGCAAACTGCACCATGTCAGGATGAGCCCAGAAGAAGGGTAGGGTAAACTACTTTTGAATACTGTACTCTCTATCCTGGGAATTCTGAAAAGGTTTTCGAATACTCTCTATCCTGGAAACTCTGAAAAGGTTTGCTATAAGTCAGAATTGGCTTGATGGCACGTTATTACAGTGGTGCCTCTCAAGATGATGTTAATTCGTTCCGCGAAAATCGCTGTCTTGCGAAAACATTGTCTTGCGAAACGTGGTTCCCCATTGGAATGCATTAAATAGATTTCAGTGCATTCCAATGGGGAACCGCGTCTCACAAGACAATGTTTTCTATGGACAATTTTTGCAAGATGACAATTCCCGCCCCCATTGGAGCACATTAAATAGATTTCAGTGCATTCCAATGGGGGGAAAAACAGTCTTGCAAAGTATCAATCTAAAAAAAAAGTCTTGCGAAGTATAGACCCAAACATCGTCTTGCAAAAATCGTCTATAGGAAAAATCATCTTGCGAAGCGCAACACGATCACAAAAACCCATCATCTTGCAGATTAATCATCCCGCGAGGCAATCGTCTTGCGAGGCACCACTTTATTGTAATAATTTATGTGCCCTTTAAAAAAAACTTCTGCCAGCAAGAGCTGGTGTGGAGGGAGGCTGCCTGAGCACAGCTTGGATGGAAATATTAGAATTTTTTGGACTACAACACTTAGAACTTGAGTTGTGGAACTTTCTCTCAAGTTGAACTTATGTTGCACCAGGGAGTCGACTTAGACTCCACTCATTTTTTTTTTCAATGACTGAAGCTCGACTCACAACTCGGAAGCCACGTACCCCCTCCCTTTTTTTCTGGGGGAGAAAAGTTTGTTTTTAATAGGGACTCAGATGTGGGGCTTGGGACATGGTTCCAAAGACTCAGACTCGGACTTGGAACTCGGACCCAAAGACTTGTCAACATTCCTGAAACTTGGAGTTTCAGTATTTAGGGACCTCTGTTCCAAAAAGAAAAAAAGAGAGAGAGAGAATAACATTTCCAAGCTCTGAGTTGAGCATGATGTTCAGAGATTTGCAAGAAATGCAGAGGCAGTGTTACTAGTCTTTGATGTTAGTCTTCTGGGGATAGATAGTTTCATCTGAATTCAACTCCAGCCTTAATTTTAAAGAAATTGTTTTTCCTTTTTAGGCTGAAGTAAATTCCTACTTGTAAAGAAACTATTATTCATACATAGTAGCACAAAAAACCTTTCCAATTTGCCTCAGACGATGTCAGAGTTCAAAAGGTTGGTTTCCTTCTGACTGGTATCCTAATTGCTTTCTTGCATGTAAATGAGGTGATGTTTTCAAATGTTAATATTCTTTGTGATATAAAGTATAGAGGAAGGCAGTAGCTAAGAAGATAGCGGATGCTTTTCTCCTTTTCTTTGATTAAATTCCTAATTCATACGAGGAACTTTAATGAGAACACTTTCTTGCAAAATTATCAGGCAAAATCAAAAATAAACACAAAATAAAGAACATAAAAATGTTGTGGCACCTTAAAGACTAACTGCTATATTTTAATGTGAGCTTTTGTGGACGAGTCCACTTCTTCAGATATGAGAGTGGGACTATAGGGCAAGTATTTAAATAGTTATACATGACCCCAAAACAAGGAAACTGTTTCCTCAGCACATGTAGTTGATAGTATGACATTCTACAACCATTAAAACTCCTATTTAGGTATTAAGTTTAGGTAATTAGTTCCCCTTCCAGGAAGCATTGTTCAGTAAACAATGACGATGATTGGTGGTTTATTTAATCCCAGGCTATGGATAGCAAAGGGGAACCACATGGTAATAATTTCCAATGGGGCTGGTGAGGTGGCACTGGGTAGTCAGTAGGGAAAAATAGGTGGGAATTACAGCAAAAAGAGCATTTGATAATAGCTTAAGAAACCTTTCAATATTGTTAGCACTCTTAATCCAAAGCGAAGTGTTGCATTTCATTTGGTTGCAGATTTACTGCTAAAGCTACAAGAATTCTAGGTGTTAAATCTTTGCAATCAGAATTAAGCATTAATTAGTATCTATGAGACTGTTCTTATTAGGGGTATAACTGTTACTTGTTGTGTCCTCACATGCAAATGTGCAATTCATGAATTGTGTGAATTGTGTAATTTGCCCAAATTCAAATGATTGCTCTTCTACTTAATGTTCAAAGCACTAGATGAGTTGTTTGAATCTTTCTTAAAGCTCAGCCCTTCTGTGTTTGCTGTGTGTATGTTTTACAGTATGATCCCCATGTCCATAGGGGAACAGTTCCAAGCACCCTCACAGATGCCAAAAAATTCAGATTATAGCAAATGCTATTATAACAGCAAACACTATACATAGCATGGTCTCTGGCTCCCTATAATTGTGAGTTCTGGGGATGACATTGTAGAAATATATATTTGGGGGATTTTTCTTTTAATATTTTTATAATTTTCAGACTGTGGATAAGTGAATCAGTAGATACCAAGCCTGTGGATAAGGGGGTCCTATTGTACTTAATTTCTTAAAGGGAAATCATATTACCAGACATTTTATGCAAACCACAGAGTGGAGAAAGAGCTGTTTGTTTCATTTTCAAATAGAGGTGAGGAACCTTGCAGGGCTTTTAAATTCCCATTCAAGCTCTCTGGTCATATGTAGATAGTTCAAATCAATGACAATGAGGAATCTGGTTTAATTTCTTTTCATCCCTCAAAGTCATGTCTAGCAAAATTATTAACCATTTTATTGGAAATAAAATGAAGTACACTTCAGGACACCTTAAAATTTGCAGAAATAAAACAAAATTCTTTTTTAAAAGGAGACATAACATACGCACATTCACATTTGTACAGGTGGAAGTTGTCAGTGAGGAATGAGGCGCACAGGGTAATGTGGACTGAGTATTCTCAGTAGCTATGAAATGCAAAAAAAATTCAGAAAACTATCAGAAAATGTTAAAAAATTGTCAAATTACACAAAAACTAAATAATAGGAGAATGGATAGGTTTAGAAATAGCTTGTTAGGGAAGAATCCCCTCACCTTGATGACAAGGTGCCCTCAGATATGTCTATCCTAGAAAAGGAAATGACTGATTGAAACAACTTCTAGAAAACTAGGATAAACAGTGGCATTTTCTATTTTCTATTATCTATTTCTATTACCTGTTTCTGTGGAGCGGCGATTGTTGATTGAAAGCACAAACAGAAGGCCTCACAGAAATATATTAAGCTACAATACTAATTTCATTGCTTTGAGTAGTTCTGGGGTGAAATCTATCTGGAAGCCACATCTGTGTGTCTTGAAGCCCTGCTCCCTCTATCCTTGGTGAATCAAGCAGACTCAAGGTGTGATGGTATAGACCTGGTCTTTCTTGTCACAGTACTGAATGAAGAAGGTTATTAATTATTCTGGACATTATGAGTAAAAGTTCTTAGCATTCACAAACCACCATCTCATTTTGCATAACAAAGGTGTGTGAAGATGTCTGATTTAAAAGACTGTGAGGATGACAACTTGGAAGACAACAATCCTCTTGCAGACAATCTAAATAATGAAGAAAAACAGAACTTCCCTGAAGGATACAGCCTTTATCTAGACATGGTGCAATATATGGATGAAAATGAGAGGTATCCTCACTTTTATATACCTATTACATGAAATTTACCTACCATCCTCATAATTATTCTCTGTGTTAATCACTATCACTCTGCACTCATTTAATAAGCTTTATTATACATGTACTCTGTGACATCTCACCTCTTTATCAAAGATTTATGTTATGTGCCATCAAACTATAACTGGCTGAAAGCAACTGTAATAGGGCTTTCAAGGCAAGTCATATATTTAAGGAGTGTTTTCACCAATTCTACACACATAACAGTGAGCTTCTTTGGCTGATCAGGAATTTGAACCCAATTCTCCTGAGTCTGTCACTCTGTAAAATACACTACACTGGATATTCTTATCAAATGTAAGTCCCTGCAAATGGCTAGTCAGAAACAATTACAGCAATCTAGTACAATAAAATTAAAAATTCATCATTATCATTAAATCAATCTACTAAATAAAGCGGAGTAAGATAACAAAAATATAGATGCAGATCCAGTAAAGTGATAATGATAATCATAGAAATCATAGAAAAGTGAAGTTGGAAGGGGCCTACAAGGCCATCAAGTCCAACCCCCTTGCTCAAGGCAGGAATACAATCAAAGCATATCTGCCAGGTGATTATTTAAATTGTTTCTTGAATGCCTCCGGTGTTGGAACACTGACCAACTCCCGAGGTAACTGGTTCCACTGTCGTACTGCTCTGACAGTTAGGATGTTTTTCCTGATATTCAACTGAAATCTGGCTTCCTTTAACTCGAGCCCATTGTTGCGTGTCCTGCACTCTGGAATGATCAAGAACTGATCTTGCTCCTCCTTCATATGACAGCCTTTCAAATATTTGAAAAGTGCTGTCATATCACCCCTCAGTCTTCTTTTCTCAAAGCTCAACATGCCCAATTATTTCAGCCTTTCCTCATAAGGCTTGGTTTCCCACCCCTTGATCATCCTTGTTGCCCTCCCCTGAACTTGTTCCAATTTGTTAGCATCCTTCTTGAAATGTGGTGTCCAGAACTGGACACAGTATTCAAGGTGAGGCCTAACCAATGCTGAATAGAGGGGGACTAGCACTTCGCAGGATTTGGAAACTATATACTTCTATTAATGCAGCCTAAAATAACATTTGCCTTTTTTGTAGCCACATCACACTGTTGTCTCATATTTAGCTTGTAATCTACAACAATTCCAAGATCCTTCTCACTCTTAGTTTTGCTGAGCCAGGTATGCCCCATCTTGTAACTGTGCAAATGGTTTCTCTTTCCGAGGTGCAGCACTTTGCACTTATCCCTGTTGAATTTCATTCTGTTGCTTTCGGCCCAGTGCTCCACCCAATCAAGATCATTTTGAATTTTGTTTCTGTCTTCTAGGGTATTAGCTGTTCCGCCCAATTTTGTATCATCTGCAAATCTGACAAGCATTCTTTGCACTTCCTCACCCAAGTCATTAATAAAAATGTTGAAGAGCACCAGGCCTAGGACTGAGACTTGGAGTACCCCACATGTTACTTCCTCCCAGCTAGAGAAGGACCCATTAATCATCACCTTCTGAGAATGATTCTGTAGCCATATCTACCTGGCACTTGATCTATCCAGCCCACACCTAGTTAGCTTGCTAATTAGGATCTCATGGGGCACTTTGTCAAAAGCTTTGCTGAAGTCAAGATATACTACGTCTACAGCATTCCCTCTGTCTATCAGGGAGGTTCCCTAATCGAAAAATGAGATCAAATTAGTTTGGCAGAATTTGTTGTTGACAAATCCGTGTTGGCTTCTAGGTATTACTGCATTGTTTTCTAGGTGCTTGCACAATGACCGCTTCATGATTTGTTCCAAAACTTTGTCTGGGATTGAAGTCAGGCTGACTGGCCTGTAATTCCCAGGTTCCTCTTTTTTGCCCTTTTTGAAGATAGGGACAACATTGGCCCTCTCCA